AAACGTTTTTTTTAATGTGGCACTTGATGGATAACGAAAAATTATATCTACTTGATTTTCTGTATACCTGAAATTATTTATATAAATGAATACCTGAAGTTTCTTTAAGATTCTGGTTTTATTCTGAAGATAAGAAAAATAGGAAATTATAAAAGTTGTGTTAAGAGAAAACCACTATTTTGATACACCGATAATTTGCAGGTCCAGGGTTAAACTTTGCCGTATTTTCTTTATATTCATCAAATAAAAATAAAGTGTGTGAAAGTAAATGCTATAAATATGATAGAAAAAAAACATGCAATATTCTTTTCACATATTATCAGACTTTTTGTTTCTTTCGATCTTATTACTGATAATCTTTTTCCAAAAGTATTTTTATCTTTCTTTGGTGAATAATCAAAAAATTCAAAGCACTTTCTGATTGATTTACACGAATATATTTTCTCGGCTTTATGATCAACAATAATAATAATAATAATAATTGATAATATTAGGAACGGTTGTTAATTAGCTAATTATCGAATATAACTAACAAAACATTTGCTCAAAGTTTTTCAGAGTTTTCAAGTAATTAAAGATTAGTAATTTATAACTTACATAAGCGCCTGCAGTAAGAGATACAAACTGCGTGCTTGGTAGACATTTACATTAGATAATCTCATACATACACATATATATATATATATATATATATATATATATATATATATATATATATATATATGTGTGTGTGTGTGTGAATAGAGTGTGCTTGCTAGACATTTACATTGGATAATTTCATATATATATATATATATATATAAAAGTGAACATTAAGTCAACACTCAGAGGTTCTGCGTGTTGACTTAAATGTTCACTTTTATATTTATATTTACATACGCTCTATCTCTGATATTGAACACGTTATCCCACAAATATAGCACACTTTAAAACTATATTTCATCATATATATATATATATATATATATATATATATATATATATATATATAAAGACATTTTTATGTTTATACATTCTTTTTAAAACCGTGAATTGAAGGTCGTTCTCAACGGATTCTCCTCCAGTTCCTATCCCACGAACGCAGGTGTTCCACAAGGCTCCATCCTTGGCCCCACTCTATTCCTTATTTTCATCAACGACCTTCCTGACGCCATAGATTCCCAAGTTGGCATCTACGCGGACGACACTATAATTTACTCCTGTCTCAAAAACAAATCTAGTGTCGGTGACAAAACTAACCTGGCCGTGCGTCTTGAAATGGACCTCCAATCGGTTGTTAATTGGGGCAAGAATTGGCTGGTCAACTTTAACGCCTCAAAAACTAAACTGCTCTCTATTAATCACCATAGAGATCCTTCCCTGCCCCCCATTAGAATGTCTGATAGTCAACTTCTTGAGAGCAACTCTCTGCGTCTGCTCGGTCTCACGTTGACTGCTGACCTGAGATGGAACAAATACATAGAGTCAATTGCATTGTCCACCGCGAGGAAAGTTGGCTCTCTGTGCCGCGCCAGGAAATTTTTCTCCCCGGAATCGATACTTCAAATATACAAATCAGCCATTCGCCCTTGCATAGAGTATTGCTGCCATATATAGTCTGGGGCACCTTCTGTTTACCTTGGAGTTCTTGACAAGATCCAGAGACGGATATGTAATATAATTGGCCCTGATCTGGCGTCTCGTCCACAGTCACTCTCTCACAGACGCGCCGTCACCTCTCTCTGTCTTTTCTACAAATACTTTCATGGTAATTGCTCCGATGAGCTGCTTTCACTGGTCCCCAGACTCCATGAATTCAAGCGCCCTACGAGGCTGGCATCCCGCTCCCACCCTTACACTGTAGAAACTTTTAAATGTAGCCGTCTCTTCTACTCCAATAGCTTCATACCTCGCACCTCTCGCCTGTGGAACACCCTTCTCAATTACTGTTTCCCTGAAAGCTATAATCTCCAACTATTCAAATGTAATGTCAATCGACACCTCTAGTTACCTTGATCTACCCACTATCCTTCTCCTCATCCCTTCTTCTATCACTCCTATCTGCTCTCGCTCCAAATCTTCTGCAACCCCCTGCATCCTAGTGGCTTCACGCCTTTCTCGGGGCGTAATGCTTAAAAAAGAATAAAAAAAATAATACAAATATTTAAGTAAATGCTCTGTTTTATAATAAACAGTATTAATAACATTCTTTCTTTGTCCATTTCATAATATATATTTTAATTTATTATAAGATATTAGAGCAAAAACATGTTGAAATCGTTACACAATAGCTTTCGTGTTTCGGCAACTTTATGCCTCCTCAGGTGATGGAAAGGAACTGGTCATTCAATAGTTTTAAAGAAAATTCCAAAAGCAAAGTGTTACCTCTTTTCCGAAAGATGAAGTTGGCTGTGAGAAAACACAAGATCAGAATTAAAAACAAACTTAAAAATAGGGTTTTATCGTTGCTCAATTGCTCGGTCCATGATATCCTTAGCATCCTTCTGTAGAATCACATCTCTGTCGCCTCGAGTCTCTTCTTCATCTTTGAGGAAATCGTAAACATTCGCTGCCGTTAAGAAGGACAGATGTCACGTAACAGCTCAGTGTTCTTTTCTTCGTTAACAAAGAAACGATAAAGTGGAGTGTGAGAAAGATCAGAATTAAAAACAAACTTAAAAATAGGCTTTGTCTTGATCAACCAATTAATTGTCTGATCTACGCTCAATAGAAAATTAAGCTCAGAGGAAGGGGGTAGGTGGGTGAGTTATTTTTTCATGTCAGGATAAACCGGAACTTAGACAGGTCATCATTTACAATTATGGAAAACATGTTAGCAACAAATGTATTGTGATTGTGGACAAATATGATATGTTCAACTTTTCAAAGGATGCTGATGGGAGGGGAAGGTGGATAATTAGGCGTAAAGATAATTTCAACAGACTTTTTTTTATAATTTCAGATTCAGGAAGCCTTTTAAAGGAACCTGTAGATAAAATTAAAAATGTGGAACATCTATATAAGATATAAATAATAATAACTGGATTGCAATACTAAATCTGAATAAACAAAACAAAATAATTACTTGTAGAGGGTGGACTGTTATTTACTTATAAATTATGGCCATAAGAAATGATACTCCCTAATTTAAAAAAAAATAACCGTATTTTAAGATAAAAAGTACACTGTGTCGGCAATTTACAGTTAATTCACTTCTCTTTGATTTAGCAGAAATTTTTGTCAGCAAAAAATCATCACATCCAAGCTTACAGCAGCTGTTATTTTCAAATGGTCACCCATCTACGTACTGACCAGGCTCGGCGTTGTTTAACTTCGGTGATCATGCAAGAACCGGTGTTTCAACGGGATTTTTTTTATATAGAAATATAGTTTGTAGTTGATCTATCGTAGATGTTAAATGTTTTGGTATAAACCTTTTTCTTTAAGGTCAGTCCGTATGCTGAAGTTTTTAATATTTTCATATAATTTTCTCATGTTGTTTTCCTTGTGTAAACACATTGTAAATGGATATATTGACATGAGAAGAAATGATCATTAAACATAATATACACAAAATGTCTTATTTTCAAAAATACATATTCATAAGAACAATTGCAGCCAAATATAAATTGAATTTAAATGTTATATATATGCGTATAATTCTGCTTCTTCTATGTGCAGCGTCTCTTCATAATATACACAATAATGGCCCTCCACAACTTTCTCTTCCAGATGACTCCTAGCAGTTTTTCTCACCTAAAGCCCCACCACCGTTCGACCATCCAGTCACACAAGATCGCCAGGTAATCTACATTGCACTATCTCTCTTGCCCTCAATATGGCCCATGAGTATTAAGTTTTCCAAGCCCTTCTTCCTCATTATGTGTCCAAAGAATTATTGTTGTCTTTTTTCTGGTTCAGAGTAGAAGTGTTCTTTCTGTTGTCATTTTCTTTAAGACTTCCTCGTTGCTTACTCGCATTGTCCATGGAATTCTCAGTGTCCTTCTGTAGAACCACATTTCCGCTGCATCTATTTTTTTTTTCTTTTAATCCCTAGGTAAATTGTCCAGTATTCAGTGCCATATAAGAGGATGGGTATCACATAGCAACCCAGAACGCTTTCCTTTGTTTCTATCGAAATATTTGCTGCTTCTCAGCACCTTACTTAGCATTTGGAATGCTTCTTTCGCTGATCCAATGCCTGTTCGGATCTCGGTGTCGCATTTTCCATTCTCTGTTTAAATTTTTCTCAGATATTTGAATAACTGCACCAGTTTGATGTTGACATCTGCAATTAGTAACTCGAATCTTGGCCTTTTTCTCTGATGACCATGCATTCTATCTTTTTGAAGCTGGTGTTTAGTCCATTTTTATTTCTTCTACCACATTTTCTACGAATTTCCTTTTCAAGTCGGCCATGAACACAGTATCATCTTCGTATATTATATTGTTAAAATTACGCCCACCGATAGCCAATCTTGGTAGTATCTTCAAGTCTTTTCGGTGTCGAGGGTAAATAAATCTGGGGAGAAGGCCTAACCTTGTATCAGTTTCCTTCCTGTAGCAGTATATCTCATGTTTTATTTTCGTGAAATATTAATTATTTTTACTTATTCGAAATCATTTTGTTTTAAACCATTGTTGAACATTCTGCCATCATATACCATCCCCGGAAACTGAATGCTCTTGAATATAACGAAGATCCTTTCTCTTTGGGGATTGGAAGCTGTGTTAATATTTTTATTTTTAGTTCCTAAGCACAACGTAGTTTAACACAATGCCCCCAAGTATAGCGCACCCTGTGAAGATCGAACTCATTCATATGGTCAGCCAGACTAACGCGCTGACCATTGCCCTATGCAGCCCCCCTCCACCTCGCTGATGCACTTATTTATACTCACCACGTCGAACCCCACGGCACTTAGCATCACTCTTTGTTTAATTTTCTTTACCTCTTGCTGCCATTTTCTTCTCAAGGCTTCAGGTTTTCTTATTCATGATTTGTTTCTCCTTTACAGCAAATGATTCTTCTGTATTACTACAACATTCTCTTTTATTGCAACTGTCCACCATTTTTTTTATTTGCAATTTGCCGAGAACGGGCTCAGATGACCTTGCAGCTTTTATTATTCAAAAGTGTTAGGACATATCCTTCTTCTCCTCCTCCTACTTCTTATTTTTCTTCTCGTCACCGTCTCCTTCTCTTCCGGTTCTCCTTTACTTCTCACGTTATTCAACTTTACTTCCTTTTATTCTTCTTGATATTTTGTCCTCTTTATCTCCCCTTCTTCTTCTTCTTCTTTTCTTCCTTCTGTCCCCCACATTTTTCTTCTTTTCTTTTCTGCCTTTTTTCCCCCTTTTACTTTTCCTTCTTCTGTTCTTTTCAACTATTATTATTTCTCTCCTCATCCTATTGTCCTTTTCTTCTTTTCTTCTTCTTCTTCTTCTTCTTCTTCTTCTTTTTCTTCTTCTTCTTCTTCTATTCCCCTTTACTTCTTCTTCTTCTGACCTTTACTAATTCTTCTTATTCTCTCCTCCTTCTAGTGCCTTTTACGACTTCTTCTTTTTCTTATCATTCTTCTTCCTATTATTTTTACTATATTCTTTCTTTCTTTCTTTCTTTCTTTCTTTCTTTTCTTTCTTTCTTTCTTTCTTTCTTATACTGTTTTTCTCCTTTCTTTTCTCAATTCTTCTCCTCCCCTTCTTAATCATTCTTCTTTCTTAATCACTTTTTCTTCTCTTGGGTTAACTTTCTTCTTCTTCTTCTTCTTCTTCTTCTTCTTCTTCTTCTTCTTCGACTATTTCAATTTCTTCCCCTTCTCTTCTCTTTCTCCATCTTCTTTCTTCATTATCTCTCTATCCTTCGTTTTTCTCTTCCATTTGCTTACGTTCTTCCCTTTTCTTTATCCCTTTCTTCTTCCTCTTCTTCTTCTCCGTCTTCTTCAAGCACTTATTCAATGATCCCAGCACAAAGGTTCACTTTACACGAGCAAATGAAAAGGCTACCCCAGTACGTGTCCGTGGTGAGGAAAACATTGAAGAGAATGTCAAAAGTGATTGCGTTTCTCTTCTGGCGTTCCTCCTTTGAGTTCATTTAAACTTTTCGTTTTCACTGAAGTAACTTGAGTAGCAGTTTGGAGATATTTCAGTTCGCGAAGGTCAACAATTGATTTATTCAAACTACTGATTGAATTTTAGGGATAAGGTGTAAAATTAACATCGTTTTGTATCGATTAAATGTTATCCCCAAGTAGAAAAGCTACTCTCAATTATCAAACGATTTTTTCGATCTTTCCTATATCAATTAAATTCCTTCTCATTTTCCTTCTTACTTATACTCCCCAAAGGAATCGATGATTTATTGATCACAGGTGCAGTCAATCAATTTGTATGTCTATATATACAAATAATTTCTTTATTTGCGAAGACAGTGTTCCACTACATCTAACGGAAGTATGAATTAACAGACAGTATTGAACTTGATGTACGATGGTCGTAGTAAAATGTTTTTGATCTGATTCATATCCCAAACTTTAGCCAAATAAACAAAATTGATACATTTGGAAGTCTTTCGGGTCAAGAAGTTCGCAGCACCGGATGGTATACTGTGAATTCTACCGATATTTCAGATAAAATTTAATTTTAAATAAATAATGAAACAGTAAACGCAATAAAACACAAAGCATAGGAATTGATAATGAAATGGAAGTATTTTAAGAATATGATGGAAGTAATGTTATATATATATGTATATCAGTAAGTTATGCGCCATGCGTGACACATGCTTAGGCGATCATGTATCTTTCGATACATGATTAATGAGACAGATTTTTCCCGCAGTAGGTTGCCATTTCTTTCTGAGGTAGACCAGTGGCTATCCAAGCCTACAGAACTCCGTCTGTCCTGCTATAGGTGTGGGGAGAAGAGCACGATTCATAACTTTCCTAAGGGTATTAGCACGTAAGTGAATTTCAGTCAGTTATGTGCCATGCGTGATACACGCTTAGGCGATCATGTATCTTTCGATACATGACGGACGACACAGATATTTTTCCCTCAGTAGGTTGCCATTTCATTCAGCGGTAGACCAGTTGCCATCCAAGTATATAGAACCACGTCTGTCTTGGGAGAAGAAGAAAAAGATTCATACCTTTCCCAACAGTATTAGCACATTAGTGAATGTAATGGATTCGACTGGAATTCGAACTCGGCGCTCCGATTCCTCAATCTGAGCCACAATCCATTACTCTTTCATGCCTCCTAATAAGCACACATAATCATAAAAAAGAAAGAAGAGATGGATTCATACCTTTCCCAAGAGTATTAGCACGTAAGTGAATGTCATGGATTTGACTGGAATTCGAACTCGGCACTCTGATTCCTCAATCCGAGCCACAATCCATTAATCTTCCATGCCTCCTAATAAGCACACATAATCATAAAAAAGAAATAAGAGATGGATTCATACCTTTCCCAAGGGTATTAGCACGTAAGTGAATGTAATGGATTCGACTGGAATTCGAACTCGGCTCTCCGATTCCTCAATCCGAGCCAGAATCCATTACTCTTCCATGCCTCCTAATAAGCACACATAATCATAAGAAAGAAAGAAGAGGTGGATTCATACCTTTCCCAAGGGTATTAGCACGTAAGTGAATGTAATGGATTCGGCTGGAATTCGAACTCGGCTCTCTGATTCCTCAATCCGAGCCACAATCCATTAATCTTTCATGCCTCCTAATAAGCACACATAATCATAAGAAAGAAAGAAGAGGTGGATTCATACCTTTCCCAAGGGTATTAGCACGTAAGTGAATGTAATGGATTCGACTGGAATTCGAACTCGGCTCTCTGATTCCTCAATCCGAGCCACAATCCATTAATCTTTCATGCCTCCTAATAAGCACACATAATCATAAGAAAGAAAGAAGAGGTGGATTCATACCTTTCCCAAGGGTATTAGCACGTAAGTGAATGTAATGGATTCGACTGGAATTCGAACTCGGCTCTCTGATTCCTCAATCCGAGCCACAATCCATTAATCTTTCATGCCTCCTAATAAGCACACATAATCATAAGAAAGAAAGAAGAGGTGGATTCATACCTTTCCCAAGGGTATTAGCACGTAAGTTAATGTAATGGATTCGACTGGAATTCGAACTCGGCTCTCCGATTCCTCAATCCGAGCCACAATCCATTAATCTTTCATGCCTCCTAATAAGCACACATAATCATAAGAAAGAAAGAAGAGGTGGATTCATACCTTTCCCAAGGGTATTAGCACGTAAGTGAATGTAATGGATACGACTGGAATTCGAACTCGGCTCTCCGATGCCTCACTCCGAGCCACAATCTATTAATCTTTCATGCCTCCTAATAAGCACACATAATCATAAGAAAGAAAAGAAGAGGTGGATTCATACCTTTCCCAAGGGTATTAGCACGTAAGTGAATGTAATGGATTCGACTGGAATTCGAACTCGGCTCTCTGATTCCTCAATCGAGCCACAATCCATTAATCTTTCATGCCTCCTAATAAGCACACATAATCATAAGAAAGAAAAAGAGGTGGATTCATACCTTTCCCAAGGGTATTAGCACGTAAGTTGAATGTAATGGATTCGACTGGAATTCGAACTCGGCTCTCCGATTCCTCAATCCGAGCCACAATCCATTAATCTTTCATGCCTCCTAATAAGCACACATAATCATAAGAAAGAAAGAAGAGGTGGATTCATACCTTTCCCAAAAGGGTATTAGCACGTAAGTGAATGTAATGGATTCGACTGGAATTCGAACTCGGCTCTCTGATTCCTCAATCCGAGCCACAATCCATTAATCTTTCATGCCTCCTAATAAGCACATAATCATAAGAAAGAAAAGAAAGAGGTGGATTCATACCTTTCCCAAGGGTATTAGCACGTAAGTGAATGTAATGGATTCGACTGGAATTCGAACTCGGCTCTCTGATTCCTCAATCCGAGCCACAATCCATTAATCTTTCATGCCTCCTAATAAGCACACATAATCATAAGAAAAAGAAAGAAGAGGTGGATTCATACCTTTCCCAAGGGTATTAGCACGTAAGTGAATGTAATGGATTCGACTGGAATTCGAACTCGGCTCTCTGATTCCTCAATCGAGCCACAATCCATTAATCTTTCATGCCTCCTAATAAGCACACATAATCATAAGAAAGAAAGAAGAGGTGGATTCATACCTTTCCCAAGGGTATTAGCACGTAAGTGAATGTAATGGATTCGACTGGAATTCGAACTCGGCTCTCTGATTCCTCAATCGAGCCACAATCCATTAATCTTTCATGCCTCCTAATAAGCACACATAATCATAAGAAAGAAAGAAGAGGTGGATTCATACCTTTCCCAAGGGTATTAGCACGTAAGTGAATGTAATGGATTCGACTGGAATTCGAACTCGGCTCTCCGATTCCTCAATCCGAGCCACAATCCATTAATCTTTCATGCCTCCTAATAAGCACACATAATCATAAGAAAGAAAGAAGAGGTGGATTCATACCTTTCCCAAGGGTATTAGCACGTAAGTGAATGTAATGGATTCGACTGAATTCGAACTCGGCTCTCGATTCCTCAATCCGAGCCACAATCCATTAATCTTTCATGCCTCCTAATAAGCACACATAATCATAAAAAGAAAGAAGAGGTGGATTCATACCTTTCCCAAGGGTATTAGCACGTAAGTGAATGTAATGGATTCGACTGGAATTCGAACTCGGCTCTCTGATTCCTCAATCCGAGCCACAATCCATTAATCTTTCATGCCTCCTAATAAGCACACATAATCATAAGAAAGAAAGAAGAGGTGGATTCATACCTTTCCCAAGGGTATTAGCACGTAAGTGAATGTAATGGATTCGACTGGAATTCGAACTCGGCTCTCTGATTCCTCAATCCGAGCCACAATCCATTAATCTTTCATGCCTCCTAATAAGCACACATAATCATAAGAAAGAAAGAAGAGGTGGATTCATACCTTTCCCAAGGGTATTAGCACGTAAGTGAATGTAATGGATTCGACTGAATTCGAACTCGGCTCTCTGATTCCTCAATCCGAGCCACAATCCATTAATCTTTCATGCCTCCTAATAAGCACACATAATCATAAGAAAGAAAGAAGAGGTGGATTCATACCTTTCCCAAGGGTATTAGCACGTAAGTGAATGTAATGGATTCGACTGGAATTCGAACTCGGCTCTCTGATTCCTCAATCCGAGCCACAATCCATTAATCTTTCATGCCTCCTAATAAGCACACATAATCATAAGAAAGAAAGAAGAATTGGATTCATACCTTTCCCAAGGGTATTAGCACGTAAGTGAATGTAATGGATTCGACTGGAATTCGAACTCGGCTCTCTGATTCCTCAATCGAGCCACAATCCATTAATCTTTCATGCCTCCTAATAAGCACACATAATCATAAGAAAGAAAGAAGAGGTGGATTCATACCTTTCCCAAGGGTATTAGCACGTAAGTGAATGTAATGGATTCGACTGGAATTCGAACTCGGCTCTCTGATTCCTCAATCCGAGCCACAATCCATTAATCTTTCATGCCTCTAATAAGCACACATAATCATAAGAAAAAAAGAAGAGGTGGATTCATACCTTTCCCAAAGGGTATTAGCACGTAAGTGAATGTAATGGATTCGACTGGAATTCGAACTCGGCTCTCCGATTCCTCAATCCGAGCCACAATCCATTAATCTTTCATGCCTCCTAATAAGCACACATAATCATAAGAAAGAAAGAAGAGGTGGATTCATACCTTTCCCAAGGGTATTAGCACGTAAGTGAATGTAATGGATTCGACTGGAATTCGAACTCGGCTCTCTGATTCCTCAATCCGAGCCACAATCCATTAATCTTTCATGCCTCCTAATAAGCACACATAATCATAAGAAAGAAAGAAGAGGTGGATTCATACCTTTCCCAAAGGGTATTAGCACGTAAGTGAATGTAATGGATTCGACTGGAATTCGAACTCGGCTCTCTGATTCCTCAATCCGAGCCACAATCCATTAATCTTTCATGCCTCCTAATAAGCACACA